AAGACCAATAAGAGATAATCAGAAAATGAAAGATGATAGTGAAAAGTGGATGTTTCATTCAAATTTTTTATTTATCATAACTTAAAAATAGAAAAATAAAAAAAATCGAATGATTACTATTTTTAAAATAGATTTTTTTAAATCTTAAAAATATTTTAAGTTAAAATAAAATAAAAATGGAAAATACAACAAGAAACAACAAATCAATAATGAAATTAGGATATAATGAAATAATGATAGTATCAATATATTTTAATGATATTAATGATTTTATTAATTTAGAAATTGGAATTAAAAGATTTCAAGGAAATATGGAACGATTTCATTTTAATCCAATTCCATTAAATGAACGTTCAAGAAAATTGTTTCCTAATATTGAAACATTTCATATTTATAATGAAAATGATGAAATATTTAATGATGGAAAAATATTTAAAAAAGTAATATGGTATTTAGTAGATTATTCAACACATTTAAAAGAAAAAGAAGCAGGAAATATATGTAAAAATATAGAATATACAAAATCAGATAGAGAAGAATATGGAAATATAGTACCACATGAAGTTAAATCACTTGGAGATCAATGTTTTAAACATTGTACATCATTAAAATCAATTAACATACCAACAACAATTAGTGAAATAGGACAAGGATGTTTTAGAGGATGTTCATCATTAAAATCAATTAGTATACCTTCATCTGTTAGTAAAATAGGATATTATTGTTTTTTTGAATGTACATCATTAACATCTTTCACTATACCAACAACAATTAGTATAATAGGACATGGATTTTTTTGCAAATGCATGTCGTTAAAATCAGTTAATATGCCATCAGTTAGTAGAATAGGATATTGCTGTTTTGGTGAATGTACATCATTAACAAGTATAGTCCTTGAAAATATACAGTTTATCAGTGAAAAAAGAATATTTATGAATAAGCCAGTGCTAATTAGTTTTGAAATACCATACAACCTACAAAAAATCAATGGAGAGAATATTGAAAAGAAAGACATCAATGAATTTATTATTCCAACTATAATAAGTGAATTAAGTGATAGTTGTTTTAGCAAATGTGTATCATTAACATCAATTAATATTCCAACAACAATTAGTGAATTAGGAACTTGGTGTTTTAGTCATTGTTCGTCATTAAAATCAATTAATATTCCATCATCTATTAGTAAATTAGGATATGAATGTTTTTCAGATTGTTCATCATTAACATCTATAAATATGTATAATCTACAATACATTAGTAAAGAAAGAATATTTATGAGTGAACCAGTATTATTTAGTATTGAAATACCAAAAAATCTACAAATAATTAATGGAAAGAATGTTGAAAAGAAAGATATTAATGAATTTATTATTCCATCTTCAATTACTAAATTAGATAGACGGTGTTTTTATTGGTGTGAATCATTAACATCAATCACAATTCCAACAACAATAAGTGAAATAGGATATAATTGTTTTTATTGTTGTACATCATTAAAATCAATTACTATACCTTCATCAATTAGTGAATTAGGATATTGTTGTTTTAAAGAATGTTATTCATTAACATCAATTAATATACCTTCATCAATTAGTGAATTAGGATATTGTTGTTTTAATAATTGTTCATCATTAACATCAATTAACATACCATCATCAATTACACTGTTTGGAGAATATTGTTTTTGTGGCTGTGGTTGTACAGAAGAGTTAAAGAAGAATAAAACAATACCAAGAGGATCTTTTGAACACATACAGTGATACAAAAAGAATAAACAATAAGTAATTGAGTTAATTCATTAATTATTTGAATAAAAGAGTTATAAAACACTTTTGAATATAAAAACAATGAGAAAAACATATTATAACAGTTGAAATTGAAAGTATTCATTGTGAATATAATAAATATGAATAGTAAAGATATTGTGTAATGATTTACAGATAATAAAACATGATATTAAACAAAAATGATATTTAAACAAATTGTATATTTTATAATATTTTATTTATTTGATTTTATTGTTAATTTAATGAATATCATTATTTATGATTATCATTATCATTATCTAATTATTTCATTTCTTTTATTATTCATTTTTGACTTCTTGTTATATTCTTTTCTCTTATTTAATAACTATTCAAATACTTGAAATTGATTTTTAATTTTAATAATGAATATTTCATTATAATTTATGTTGTTTTTAATTATTTCATATTTAAATATGTTTTAAATATTTTAAATAATTAAAATTGTATTAAGTAATCATTTATTATTGAATAAGTGATAATTTTATTAATCATTTTATGAATGAATATTATCATTAACCAGTTATTTTATTAAATAGAAATGAAATATTCTGCAACGAAAAAAGGAAGTAAGAGAAAGAATGAAGAGAAAGAATGATATAAAAGAAAAAATTGAAATTAAGAAGTAGAAGAAGATGAAAAGAATAAAAGTAGAATGTTGAGAACATAAAATGAAAGAAAATAAAAAAGAATAATTCAAAATGAGATAATAAATGATGAAAATAGTGATGAAATAAAGGATTTGTTTTTTATTATAGAAATTAAAAATATGCAATAAAAAAGTGTTTAATTTATTGATACAAATTATTTAACATTATTTTATTTATGCAATTTATTTTATTCATTTTTATTTTTATAATTTTTATTTAAATGTATTATTTATTATCAGTGTTTATTATATAATCAATTATAAATATTAATGATTAGTATATAATATGTAATATATAATAAATAATAAATATTATTTTCATATGATATAGATAGAAGATATAAAAATTAAATAAATAATAATAAATGATAAAGAAATAATAAGAGAAAAGAAATGATATAATAATAAATAAAATATATAAATAAAAAGATAAATAAAATCTATATAATATAAATAAAATAATAATAAATATAAAGAGAAAGAAGATATAAAATATAAAAATATAATCAAAATGAAAATAAGATAAAGAAATGTATTAATATATAATAAATTATATATAAATAAAAATATATTAATATATAAAATAAAATATAAATAATAAGAATATAAAACTAATAAAATAAGATAAAAATAAAATATATATATATATAATATGATGATATATATATGATATAAGAATAGAAATAAATATAATAATAAAATATATAAATATATAAAAATAAAATACATAAATAAAATAATAATAACATAATAATAAAAATGTATAATTACATTGAATCAAATATCATTTCTGAATCATTTATATTTCATAACAACTTACCATAAAATGATATAAAATATAAATGAATATAGAACGTATATTTAATTTACATTTTTATTTTTTATTTTTTTAGGAGCAAAATAATAAAAATTAAATTATTATTGATTCAAAATATTTTGCCCTCAAAAGAATGATTATCTGTATTTGTGGTTATGATAATTTTATTTATTTTGATTTTGTAAAATATTATAAAACATTTGATGATTTTATTTCTCTCATAGTATCATAATTTATTAATATATTACATTTCTAAATGAATAATATTCAAAAGAATGGATATATTTTATTGAATAGTATTAAATAATATCATTTAATACATTAATAATGAATTAATAATGATAATAATTAAAATAGTAATAATAATGAATAATTTTAATTAAAAATTGATATTTTATTATTTAATATATTTATTTATCACAATATCATTATTAATTATTATATCAAATATCTCATCTTGTTCAATAACATGATTTAATATTAATTAATCAATTAAAAATCAAAACAAAATGAACAATATTAATTTAATTAATGAAATATAATTTCATCAATTATTTCAAAATGTAAATCATTGTGATTATGAAATAGATCAAATACAATTGAATATCATTAAAATGATTATGTATGATTTATTGGTTAATTATCAAATCACTTGCTACATCTCATTTCAACAATAATGAATAAGAAGAAAAAAAAACAATCAATAACTAATAATATGAAAAATATCATGAAAACAATAAATTCAAATACTATTCTTGTATTAATTAAATTATTTAAGCAATATGATATTTTCATAATATATAATTAGAAAGATATGAGAGTAATTGTTGAATTAAAATATACAACAAGAATAATTAATGAAAACAAAAAATTATTAACATCTCAAATTTTCATCAATTAAAATTATCTGAACAACAAAATGATTTACTTTATACCCATAAAATAGATTAAATAAAATTATATTTGATTAATGAATAATTTATAATATACATTATCAAATAAACATACAAAATAACATAAAAAGAATAAAAGAATAATAAATAAATAATAATTGAATATAATCATTTTATTTGATTTTTTAATTAAAAAAAGGATTAAGTAAAATAATAGAATAATAAATAAAAGAAGAGTAGTGAAAAGTATTAAATCATTGTAATATGTTCATTATTTATATTAATTATATTAACATTGAATACATCATATTTTTCATATTATAATATTACTAATTTTTCCTTAAATATTAAGAGTACCTAAAGATAATGAAGTGGTGATGACTTTATTATTAAACAAAGTATTTTATTAAAAGATTCTCATAACAAAATTTTAAGATTTTTAATAAAACATTTTAATAACAAGAATTTGGAATATATAACAAATAATAAAAAAATGAACAAAAAACTAGAATGTTTTAGTCATGATTGCAATTACTTTACTTCTTATTTCATTTGTTGTTGCTGTTCCTAATCCAGCAGCAGTTAACTGTTTACAGATTGGAATGAAATCAAACACTCTTCACACTAAACAAGGAAATATGTCTGTTTGTGAAACAGATGATGGACAATTTATTGATGCATGGAAGTTATTAAGAACAACACGATTTAAACAAGGAGGAATTAAATTAGAGTTTTTGAGTGTTGACAAAGAAGGAAATCTTGTTAAAGGAGAAGAAGTCACAATGAATAACATTATTCATAAAAATAAGTAAATTAATTTTACTTATCATTAAGTTTTATTAAGTTTTAATCCTTGCATTTATAATAACAAATATTTCATCAGTGAGTTTTTCAAATACTTACACTGTAGAAATAATGATAGGACAAACCTCATGAGGACTGAAAAATAACAAATGTCGTGTTCTTCAAACACTCTCGGAATAAGTTCTTTTGTGCTTTTTAAGAACCTTAGTGGAATGCAAAAGATTGAAGACCAAGAAAGAGAAAGGACTGAGTATGAAAAGAATCATCCCATTAAGATTCCAGAAAATGAGAAAGAGTTTATCGAAGAGTATGACAATCTCATCACAGAGATTGATACCCAAAGAAAGAAGAATCAAGAATGTCTTGGACAAGAATGGAAATACTACGAAATACTTAAAAGAATCACTGAAACATATGAGTTGGTTATCAAAAAAAGAGAGAACCAAGCTATCGAAACAGGAAAACTAAAGAACCAAATAATAGATAGAATGATCGACATTAAAGAGAAGAAACTCAGAGAAGTAGTTACAAACGAAAACACTCAAACCAAAACAAAAGAAATATCACAAATAACTTTTGAAACAACAAAGAAGGAATTAGAAGTGATGAAAATTGCTGGATTAAATGAAATTACATTGACAATAAAAAACTTCAGTGAAAAGATATTTTACATTAAGGCTCTTCGTATGTTTACTATTTTCCAAGTAAAAAGTCTTTTGGAACCTATATCAGGGGTTTCTTCTACAGACCAAAGATTGATTTGTTCAGGAAAGCAACTTGAAGATAAGAATACATTATTAGATTATGGAATAACAGACAAATCGATTATTTATTTAGTTTTGAGGCAAAGAGGAGGTAAACCAGTGATCTTATTGTATGATGATAAAAAGAAGATAAATGAAGCAGTGAGTGTGAACATCAAATTTAATGAGGCAATGGACATTGGAGCAACATATCCAGAAATTAAAACAATAAAAGAAAGTGAAAAAATAAAAGAGTATGAATGGAAAGGAACGTACAACAGTGATGGAGAAAATAACTGTAAAATAACTGTTAATGGAAAGGAGGTTGAGTATTTGTTTTGGGAAGGTATTTGTTTAAAAGAATCTGAATTTAAAGGGCAACAAATTGGAATTAGTCAACAACACTTTGAAGAAGAATTAGATGAGTTATTAGAGCGTCTTGGATTGAATGAACGAGAAAGAAATGATTTTATTGTTTATTGGATTACAAAGTTAGGAAAAAGAAAGTATCATCTTGTCACTATTTGTGACTCAAAATTTGACAAAGAAGTTGCGTCATTAACAGTTAGTGGATTTGAACAAACTCATCGAGTTATGTTGAAATTTGAAGAAATCAAAGATCTATGTGGATTAGAAGGAGTGAAGAGTGTTATGAAACGACAAAGACCAACTGGAAAGTATGTGATAGAATGGGGAGCAATTTTGGCATGATTCTTAATTAACTCATTCTTTTTTAAGACATTTTTTGATGATACAATGAAAATATTTCATGTTAAAATTAATATTCTTGTTAAAACACTGTAATTTAGTTATAACAAAGATGAAAAACAATTAAAATATTTCTTTTCTATTCTTTTTCTTAATGGTTTAGAATGCTCTAATAACGTATATCTTTTATTTATTTGTATCTTGATGTAAATATGTTTTTTTAAGACATTGATGAATCACTGAACATTTCTAAACACCTTTCATAGAGAATATTTCAAATGAACATGATTATCATTTACTTTTATAATCAATGTGATTAGAGAAACAAAACATTCTATCAAAACAATATTGTTGATTCAATAAATTATTCCAAGATTCATATTCAACAATACAACCATATGAGTGGTATGTTATACAAATGAGAGATAAGAATAAACATTCCTTTGTTATTGTTGCTAGAAATGATTGATTATTATAAAGAGAGAATAATGAATCACAAACAAATTAAAAGAGTATGTTCATATAATTATAATTGATAAAAATTAGAACATCAGAAATCTAACAATTTTATTCATTGTTTGAATATAAATCAAAAATAAATGAAACTATTGAGTTGTTGTAATAGGTGTAGTATTTTCATATTAAAAATTAAAGAAAGTAGTAAGAAGAAATTAGAATTAACAATGGTTGTTATTTGGTAAATAAACAATACCATTGAAGAAATCTTCTTGAGTTTTAGCACATACTGAACATTTGTTATCTTCAGTACATCCATAACACTTATCATCTCCACATTCAACACATTTTCCATCTTTCAAATAAGTATTATCGTCACAACGCATACATCTTTGTCCATCAGCTGATGCACGATTACAATGAGCCATTCTAATTGGATGAACATCTTCTTTATTTTCATTAAGTGAATCTAATTCACAATATGTGGCTTTATGTTCACATTCATTACATGTTGAATCACATTTACTACATTTGAAGTCTTCTGTTAAATAATATCCTTTACCACATTCAATACATTTCTTTCCATCACTACTGTGACTTCTACAATGTTCAACACCTTTCAAACATTTACCTTTGGAAAGATAATATCCTTCTTCACATGTCTTACATTGTTCATATGAATAAACAACACAATGTTCAACATTTTCATAACAATAACTTCCAACTAAATGATATCCTTCTTTGCAAACACTACATTTGTTAATACCAGAACATCCAATACATCCAATTGGAATAACAGGACAACTTGTACACTCCTTTTCATTCCAATAATATCCTTCTTGGCATTTATTACAAGTGTATGGACTATTGCATTTATTACATAATTCAACTTTACATGCTTTACATTTTCCTTCATCTAAATAATATCCATCTTCACAAGAAGAACAATCTAATGAATCTGTATAACTTGTACAATGTTCAACTGGTATAAAATCAACACAAGCCTTTCCATCAAAATGTTTTGTATTATAACAAATATCACATTTGGTATAATCTAAACTACAAGAATAACACCCATCAATAGCACATTTCTCACATTGGTTCTTCTTATTCAATCCATATCCATCATAACACTCACTACATCTTGTTGATGATCCATAAGAATACGTTTTACAATGATCAAGTGATTGAACACAATCATCTCCATTAAATCCATATCCATCAAGACATTCAAAACATTGTGTCATAGAAGAACACTCATAGCAATTTTCAACACATTCAAAACATTCTCCAGCTTTTGCATAATATCCATCAACACAAACAACACATTTATCTCCTTTGTATGTGGCACAAAGTGGATTTGGTGGAATTTGACATTTTCCATCCTTCAAATAATATCCAAGCATACATGAACTACATCCATTTTCAGAACTAATGGCACAATATGGAACAACTTCTTTGAAGTATTTGCATGTTCCATCAATAAGAATATAGTTTGGTGCACATGAATCACAGACATTTGGATTTGTCTTACAAGAACTGCAATAAGCACTTGAGCATTCAGGATTTTGAGCAACAATAAGGGGAATTAGAAGTGTAAAAAGCATTATGACTAACAAGATTTAACCATTCAAAAAAGGTGCAGTTTTTGTAAAAGATTATTCAATAATTGAATGAAATTTTATCTTTTCTAATAAACTTTCAAAAATAAAACACCGAACAATAAAAATACATTCTAATACTTATTTTTATTTGAATTATAAATGTTATTCTTATGTAATTTTGTTAAAACACTCATTGCTTATTTCCTTTCTCTTAAGATCAACCGAAATGATAGTGTTATTGTATGACAAATATTAGGTTGTTATCCTAATACATAACACCAAGTAATAAAAACATCACTTTCATTTCTTTTGTTTTGTTTCATAATCTCAACATATTAAGAATGAGTCAGAATACTTTTAATGCCAATTTTATTCAACTTATTTCTATGGATTAAATAAGTGATGAATGTATTAGAACAACTAAATTGACTTATCCTATGTTTTAGTTATCAAATTCTTCATCATTTTTCGTTTTATAAAAATGTATTTATTCATTATGAGTTGTTTCTTATTTTTAATTAACTACCAATAAGATTATTAATTCCTTGAATTGACTTCATTCTATACGTTTCATTCTTGGTGTTAAGAATATAGATATGCTAACACAAACTAAACAAGTATCTTATGGTGTGTTTCAAGTTTTTAATAAGAGTAAAATTAGTAAAGAATAAATCATTCATACGTATCTCATTTTTATTAGTAAAATAAACATCTTGGATAATCTAGATGACAATATTTCTGTAAATATTCTTCTATCTTTAAATATTTATCATTTCTATCATAAGTATAAATTGTTTCAATACAATAATTAATGAAATAATAAACCAAATAATCATTTATCAT